GCCGCGGACCCTGCTGGCCTGGCCCGCCGATGTCGGGGAAATGGGCCGAGGGACGCGCTGTCTCGGGAGGCGGCGGACCCCGTGCTCACCGCGGGGCGACCTCGCCGTCCTCGTCGCCAAAAAGGTGGGCTGCGACCCCTCACTGGTAGGGCTTTGTGAAGATTTGCCCTGGCGCTGGGTTCAGCCAGCGACAGTCGTTATCCACACCGGTAGTGCGACTTCCTAGCCGGTTAACAGCTTTTAGAGTAAGCGTTTGTGTTTCGGCGACAAGAAATTAGTTTCCCGGGGACGGACACCCAGGGATGGCCGAGGGATGTCCCATCCACTTGGGCCGGGAATCCCAGGGTGGCTTCCCTGCTTGGGTTGCGCCCCAAGAACCGACGCCCCTGGGGTTAGGCTCCCCCAGGCAGAGCCCTGCAGAGCCGTTGCAGGGGGCGGGCGCAGGCCGAGGGCGTGAGCAGGTGGCCGGCGTTCGCAGGAGTGTGTGCTCACCAAGACATGTGAACAGAGGGGAGGAAGTCTCACTGACCTCCCGGTCCCTAACAGTTATCTTTGCGCAAAGTGTCTTACCACTTACCCATCAAGATAAGTCGAGCCAGGACTTGAGTTTGTTGCTTCAAGGAGCAAAGTACAGGTCATTTGGACATGATGTGTGTTTTACGAGTGCAGCCCGTGGGGTGACGCCAGGAGCAAGTTATCTCGCTTTGAGCAGCTGCGTTCCTGGCCAGGAGAGCTGGGATGGCAGGGATAGAATTACACTCCAGCAGGAAAGCAGCACACCCTCTGCCACACGGAGGAGAGCAGACGTGGGCCCTGTGTCTGGCTCCCTTCCTCGGCGACTGCACGCTGTGCGGGGCCTGGGCCTGCACTCAGCGTTGTCGCTCTGTAACGACCCCGATGCACCACTCACTGGTTTTCTCCTGCTCAGGTTCCAGGTGTTGAGTCACCTGTCCTTTATTGTTCCCACAGGCTGTGTGTTTAGTGTGCATTTTTGCAGGATGCTCTTTTCATGAACACGTGTACTGTGGTGTAGCAGAAGCGCCTGCATTTATTCACTCAGTTGATTCAATGCCTACTGTGTGCGGGTAGTGTGACAGGCGTGGGGATGCTGCGGCTGAGGAGGGTACAGGCTCGTGCCCTCGATGGGCAACAAACAGGAGTTCCAGTAAATGTGGCTCAGGGGACCATCACAACACAGAGAGCACAGCTGGGCAGCTGGTGAGCTCTAGTGAGTATGGGGAGGATGCAGGCCCCCAGGGACCTAAAGAAAGAGAGCTCTAAGACGACTCTGTCAGCATTGCCAGACCACCTGGGGGAACCGCTGGCCTGCCCGTCCCCATGCGCCTTAGGCTGTGGTGTGGTGGCCGCGCTGCCATCAGCACAGGCATCTGTTTTGCCAGCTGGAAGGTACCGTGGTTCGTGAACCCCTCATGCTCCACCTTGGCTGCAAACAGCACCCAGGCCTGGGGTGAATGTGCCCAGATGCTGGTGGGCTCCCCTCTGCTGCTCCTCCCTGTAAAGACTGCCAGAGGACGTGGGGCCTCAGCTGTACCTGAAAGGACCAACCCATGTGTGTCAGGTGGGCACAGGATGAGAGGAACAGGTTAAGGGGCAGGAAGGAGCTGAGTTCTCTTTGAGCTAGGTGAATTGTGTTGGTCCAGATGGGGAGCTGGGGAGGCAGCTGGGCCCTGTTTCTAGCTCAGAGGGACCCTGGAGAAGGCACCAGGTGGAGGGACAGGTGCGGATGAGGGCTAGGATTGCTGAGTGCTGGGCGTGAGTGCCTGTGGCCGTGGGATCCTTCACAGGGCGATGCGGACAGAGGGGTGGCCTTGTTCCTTTGTTGTCAGGCCAGGTACATCCAGGATGACAGACTTCCTGGGTGCTCTGGCCTTTCATTTTTCCTCTGTAAACATGATCAGGGACACGTGGGCATGTGCGTGCGCGTGCATGCATATGTGGATGTGCTTGTATAGGTGCATATATGTGTGCAGGCATGTTCACTCCTGCATGCCGACACGTGTATGTGTGCCCGCATGCATTTGTGTGTGAGTGCATGTGTGTGTGCACATGCTGTGTGTGCGCGTGTGTGTGTGAGCATGCACAGGAGTCATTGAGATGGGAAGGTGGGCAGAGGCCGGTGCCCTGCTGGGCGGGTTTGGGTGTTTGCTGGCCTCAGGCCCAGTCCTCACAAAGCCTTGGGATGGGAGAGGGACCTTCCTGTTTCCTTGGGGGAAACTGTGCTGGGGAGGTCAGGTAGCTTAGCCGAGGTCACCGAGCTCACAAGTCCTGAGATGGGCTGCCATCACTCTGCTCAGCCTCGATGCTGGGAGGGACGGAAGCAGGCAGAGCTGGGAGCGGCTGCTGTGGGCGTTGGGGACAGACGGGTTGATCTGAGTAGGGGGGCGGGAGCTAAAGACTCCTCTTTGGAAGAGAAGATAAGGCCGCGCCGTGGGTCCGAGAAACCGTGGAGTCGTGCTCTGCGCTGCAGAGTGAGGGTCTCCCCGGCGGAGTGTGTGCCAGGCTCCGGCCCGCAGTGCCTCTGCGTCCTCTTCCGGACCGTCGGCTGCTCGTCTGGCAGCCTCGGGTTAGCGGCCTGCAGCGGGCCCCAGCGGCGGGTGTGCTGTGATGGCATCTCTAGCCTCACTTCCTCACCTGCGTCCCCTTCCTCCCCAGCTCCCGGCCACGCTTGCAGGCCCTCCTGCGGTCCAGACCCAGTGGCCATGGCGTCCAGGCAGGCTTCCCGCTGCGGCCTGGCTCCTGGCTGCCTCTGGCTCCTGGGGGTCTTCCTCCTGATGGATGCGTCTGCCCGGCCGGCCAACCACTCATCTGCCCGGGAGAAGACAGGCCACAGGGAGGAGAACGAGATCCTGCCCCCGGACCACCTGAACGGGGTGAAGCTGGAGATGGACGGCCACCTCAACAAGGACTTCCACCAGGAGGTCTTCCTGGG